AAGAAGAGAGCAAGGGGGGGGAGAGAAAGAAAGAGAGAGAGAGAGAGAGAGAGAGAGAGGGATAAAGACAAAGAGAGAGAGAGAGAGAGAGAGAGAGAGAGAGAGAGAGAAAGAGAGAGCGAGTGAAAGATAAATAGAGAAGATAGAGAGAGGAGAAAAACATAATTATAGATGAAGAAAGAGAGAGAACGAGAGAGAGAGAGAGAGAGGAAAACCAAAAAAAGGGAGAGAGAGAGAGAGAGAGAGAGAGAGAGGTAGAGAGAGAGAGAGAGAGACCATGGGGCCATAAGATGTGAAACCAAACGGGGTGAAATGTGTCACCGCGAAGACCGCGCACGAAAGTACGCACACGGACAACAAATCAAACACACATTATAGAACAAAAAGCTTTACGTAATATCTATTGAGAATGAGAAAGACAGACCGAAACAAAGAGAGAGAAACAGAACCAGAGAGACAATGGTCAGATTTTTTAACAGAAAAAAACATACCTTTTTCGCATTCCGAGGGTTGGGGGGCAGAACCCCAGGAGCGCTGCAACGGCTGCTGCAGCCGCTGCAGAACCGCCAGGGGGGCGCGCTTAAAAATTGAATATCAAATCTTTATTAGGGCTTTTGGATTATGCCGAGGGTGTGGCTGCATCGCGAGGGAACCCTGCACCACGGCCTGCGGCGAGAGGGCGACGGTGTCCCCGCGACGCAGGCCAGCACTCGACTCCACGGCCAACCAGCTCCTGGCACCCGCAGGTAAGGCGCCACCCCTGACAGGCCCAGCAGCGCCCCCCCCCTCCCCGCGCAGCCGCGGGAGCAGCAACGGCCGCGACCAAGCTCGGCGGCGTGGCACTGCCGTGCGCCACGGCGGGGGCGGCCGCCAGTGTCGTGCCGACCTGGACGGCGTGGGCCGAAGCGCTCGCGGTCCATCCCGCCAGCTCGGCCGCGGTGGGCTCCGTCGCGAAGCGGCACATGCCCCGAGTCACACTAGGGGGGGGGGGGGGGCCACCGCTGACTGGCGAAGTGGGGCCCGACGATGTCTGCGTTCGCCATGCACCTGGGCGTTGGGAGTGACCACGAGGTACATAGTCACCGATGACGCCAGCCCTCCGAGCAGCAGCCGCTGATGCCACACAGCCTCCGTCGTCGCGTACCATACGCAGGCCCAAGCCACTGCTGGCGGCCCGACTGGGGCCAGACAAGGCGGGGGGCCCAGCGGCAGAGCTGCTGCCGCGGCTCCACCCCCAAACGGCAGCCATGGCTGAGGACCCCGACCGAGAGAATCACCAGGCTCGCGCTCACGAGCAGCCAGGTCCAACCCCACAGACGACCGTGCTCCGCCAGCGCCTCCAAGCTCACCGCCGCGCAGCTCGGCTCGGAGAGAGGAGGGGCGCCAGGGCACGCCGGCACCGACGGGCACGCCGGGCAGGCGGGGCAAGGGGGCACGGCTGGGCAGCGGCCAGCCGAGACTATGGCAGCGGTGCCAATGGAGCGGACAACCTCGTAGGCTAGGTTGAAGCAAAAATCCATGCCCCGACAGGGGCCCTCGCATTGAACCCCAGATATGACTACAGAAGCGTTCTGACGCTTAGCGGCGATCGGGCCCCTCTAGATGATTCACTTGCAAGCATTTACATTTGTATGTGTGTATGTATGTACGTACGTACGTACGTACGTATGTATGTAAGTATGTGTGTATGTATGTATGTATGTATGTATGCATGCATGTATGTATGTATGTTTGTGTTAATGTGTGTGTACATGTATGTGTATGTATGGGTGCATACATGCATGCATGCATGTACTATTACATTGCGTAAAAGAGAGAGAGAGAGAGAGAGAGAGAGATGGACTACATCTATATATATATATATGGGTGGGTATGTTTACACATCGATATGTATATACATATATTATATGACCGATACAGAGAGAGAGATAACAAAAAAAAGACAGATATAGAGAGAGAGAGAGAGAGAGCGCACACACACGCGCGGAGAGAGCAGAGGGAGAGGGACCGAGAGGTGGAGTGGCAAAACGCAAAAGCGCAAGGGCAGACTGAGGCAATATACCAGAGACGAAAATCACCGGCCGCGGCCACGAGGAGCCTCCTGGAGGCCCCAAGAAGGATCCAGAAACGCTCAAGAGCCTCGACCCTCGAACTTCTACGGCAGGTCCGTGTCGTGACGATGTCGGCGCGGGAATTGGGGGATGCCGTGTGAAAAGAGACGACGACAGCAGACTGGATCCCTAACGTTGCCCCATGATTGTCGGGTCATGACTCGGCTCTCCGGCGACCGTTCGGGACGATCCAGGCGTCCCCAGAACGCTCTCGGCGAGGAGCAGCTACTGGAGAGCACCCCGAAGCAGGAAAACCTCCGAGAACCAACAATAACGTACGAGAAACTCAATACCCGACCCTCGATCCATTTCTGGCACCGCGTGCACCGTTCAACCCTGAACGATCCGATGGCGCAGATCGTTCGATGTCGGCCAATTCCGGGCCACCGCCGTCTCGGAACGCCCGCGCC